TCCTGCCTCCCCAGTGTGCCTTTAGCCACAGCATCCGCCCGTTCGTTACCCTCCACACCCACATGCGTGGGAACCCAGATAAAACACACCTTACAACCCCTAACACCCAACCGATGTAGCGCCATCCTGACAGATGCTAGCAAGTTCGTTCGAGACCCAGAGCGCTGTCCCACCAGTGCTTCCAGGGCTGCTGCCGAGTCGGAGCTTATAACGGGCCGAGGAGGGGCGTGCTCCCCCACCCAATGTAGAGCACACATAATAGCCACCAGCTCAGCTGTAAACACTGAACAGCCATCCCGAAGCCGGCAGCCACAGCTGTATAACCCAGACTCAAAACCACCAACCCCACCCCCACTCTACCACTCACCGAGTCCTTTGAGCCATCCGTAAACAACTGCAAATAAGATCCCCAAACCATCCCCAGAAAACCCATGAAATCATCAGCCCTCCCAGCAGCCCGACCCTGACCCAAGAAAAAAAAATCAACCTCAGGTTCAGGCAATAACCAGGACGGAACCGCAGTCCAAACCAAATGAGAACTCACAGGCCACTGGAGAAAGCCCAACTCCTCTGCCCATCTCCTCAGATTATCTGGGAAACCACCCCCAACTCTTCTGCTAGACCCCTCGAATTCCCAATGTCGGCTCAGCAAAGCTGTTGCAGGGGCAGACTCCCCCATGCCCTTGACCCGCAGCAGGTAACAGAGCCCCAACTTGACCCGCCGAAACTCCAAAGGGATGTCCCCAGCTTCAACAAGGAGGGCTGCCACCGGGAACGAACGAAATGCCCCAGTACACACCCTCATAGCTGTTGCCTGCAACACATCCAGCTGCTTCAGGATTGAAGGCGCAGCTGAACCATACAGAAAACTCCCTACTAAGGCCGACCTGATCATACCCTCATAAACCAACATCAAAGTGGCTCTGTCCGCCCCCCAGGCCGACCCGGCCAGACACCTCATAACATTCAGAATGTGGCTACACCTGGTCACCAAGCCCCGCACATGCACCTACCACGTCAGTCTCTCATCGAACCACATGCCGAAGTACCTATGGAGCTCCGGACGTCACGTGACTCTCAGAGAGTAGACGCCATGTTGGCAGGCAACAAATGTAAACAAATTGAACGGGATCGGCTTGGATTTGACTTTGTCGTTGTTTACTTCACACTTTAAAACCGAAGAAATCGTTTTATATAGTCAAAAATTAAAGGACTAAACATCTCCGACCCTTACCGTGCCCCAGGGATACTTTTTAAAAACGCCAGAAGCTGTCGGAGCGGACTTCTTACCGGACCTGGCCGGGGAATCCCTTGAGATTGCCCCGGAAGAGCTGGCCCAAGTGGCTGGGGAGAGGGAAGTCTGGACCTCGACGCTACTGCCCCCGTAACCCGACTCCGGATAAGCGGATGAAAACGGATGGACAAATAACAGATTTACACGTAAGTAGTTTAAATAGAGCGCTGTGCTGTTTGAATGTATGAACTGAACGCCAAGAGAAATCACTAGTCTGATTTTTTCCGTGAATAAAATAAATATGTCAGGCAGGAGAGTCTCGGGATCCGTCTGAGATCTGTCTCGGTGAGACAGATAATTAGCCTAGTGAACTAGACCAAATTCTTGCTTTGCAAAGTTTGGTCTAGGCATGCTCCATTGGAACCTCCACAGCTCCTACCAGGACTCTGGCTAGCCAATCACAGCTCTCTAGAGGGGTTTCAAACACATAAAGAGCTGTGATTGGTCCATAAACACTCGCTTACCAGCACCGAGAGATTGAACAGGAACAGAGAAGGAAAAATCGTCTTACCGGACTAGGGTTGAAGATTTTAGGAAAAATTTGAATCACAATTTTTCTAGCAGAAATTGTGATTTCGGTTCAATTAACAATTTTCTGCTAAAAAAATAAAGGTCCAACATTAGCCTACCAAGCCAACCTGTAGATTACGTAAAAAGATGGTCTAGATTCTAATCTAGTACAGCTAATCATTCACGTTAATATTTACTATTTAATCATCCAATAAAAACAGTTAAAGCTATTAACATTTTCTCCCATTATTATCTTTTTTTATGTGTTTGTGAATCAACTTGTGCTTGAGATTTTTATCTAGAGAGGAGCTTTAAAAAAACATGCATAAAAAACATGCATACACCAATACCAGCCCACACACACACACATACACCAATACCAGCCCACACACACACACACACACACACACACACACACACACACACACACACACACACACACACACACACACACACACACAGTTGAGAGCTAGAGATACATGTCTCAAATGTCCCAGTAGTTTAGATTTTTAGTTATAAAACATGACAAGCTATGAATAATGATATGTGTTGTGTCACACGTGCCGGCGAATGAAGCGGAGAAGAGGTGAGGATCCAAGCGGGGCGAGGAAGACAGGCAGACAGGTAGGAACGTTTAACAATCACTTTAATTTGGAGCACGCAGGACATAGAAACAATGATCCGACACAAGACACAGAACAGAAGGGGTTTAAATACAAGAGGGCCGGGAGCTAGGGTGATTGGGAAACGAGAGGCAGGTGGGAGCAATTAACGGAGACACAAGGCTGAACCAAACGGGGAGACAGGACAGGGTGTGACATGATGGAGTGTATATGCGGTGATGTAATGTGTGCTGTAGGTGGTGTGGTGTAAAGTAGATGTGTATCAGAACCTTTGTATCTGAAAGAGATTGTGAATTCTGGGTGTAAAAGAATGTTGGTCTGCTATAAACTAGAGAGTTGATTATTAATAAAACAACATCAGACGCAATCTGTTGTGTCTACAACCCCTGATCGGAGACCCCCTGGTCAGATCCGGAATGTCAGGAAGTCATCCAGTGGACCTCAAGGCACCGAAGTTCCTAGAATAACCGCAGTACGACCAGTCTGGTCTAGAGTTGTCTCCAGGTCACAACAGCAGGAAGGTTTGTTGCATCTAACATGGATATGCTCTTAAGAAGTCGTATGGCTGTGCCAGCTGGCAGTGTGCCAACAGGTTTGACTGTGTCAAAGAGAAATGTGTCTCAAGGAGGCTAGTTCCGAATTGGCTTCTTCGGAGTTCTGCTCGAAACTGAGTAACTCAGGAAGTCACTCTAGTTTTAATAAGCTAGAGTTTCTGATTTCGGCGAATCAGAATTTGACATGTTTGTAGGCTTTACCAAACATACCTCAGAAAACCACACCTTCCAGATATAAGATGTTCTAATTCTGTGGATAAAGAATCTTTCAACTTTATGTGAGGTGACCTTAACCTGAATTTGCATCTAATGAACATTGTGTATGAGTGTAGATAATGATTAACTTGTTAAATCAAACATTACTGATCATAACATATAAATGGATCATTGTAATAATAATATTCATTTCAACTTCACTGAATTAGGCACGGAACGTTCAGACGTTTCATATAACATCTGGTTCATTCAGCCATGTGATTATAAATAATTATTTAACTCATGAGTTGTGAAAGTTCATTTTTTATTCAGAGTGTGGAATCCAGCACTCTGAGATAAGAGGACAGACTCTGTTTGGAGACCTAGTGACAATCTTGTCTTCATGGGATGTTAACAAGCACTGCAGAATCTTCTGGGTGTTAGAAGATAGAAAAGAAAATCCACCTAGAAAGTGGAATTAGTTCTGTAGATGACCAGTCACTATGTAGGTTAATATAAAGGTCAAAATTTACCCTTTCTGGATGTTACATAAATATAGCTCCCAATTTCCCAGAATGCACTGTAGTCTTTAGCATCACCAGATATTTTATCTACTGAATGAATTCTGGTACTGGGTTCAAATCCCGACATGGGGTCTTTCTGCATGGAGTTTGCATGTTCTCCCTGTGCATGCATGGGTTCTCTCCGGGTACTCAGGCACAGTCCAAAAACACAATTGTACGGTTGACTGGTCTCTCTAAATTGTCCTTGGGTATGAATGTGTGTGCTTGGTTGTTTGTCCTGTGGGTCTATGTGTTGCCCTGCGATGAACTGGCAATCTGTCCAGGGGGTACCCCGCCTGCATGTCCGGAGACAGCTGGAGATAGGCACCAGTGCCTCGTGACCCTGCGAGGATAAGCGGGTAAAGACTATTGATGGATGGATGGATGGATGGATGGATGGATAGATGGATGGATGAATTCTGCTCTCAGCTTTAGATAAAAAAGTTCAGTTTTAATGCATTATGGATGACAATATTTTAGTGTGAACCTATACAATTTATCATTATTTAATTACTGATGAGGCCAGTTACATGTATACAGGTAATTACTTTTCAAAACTATAAATAAACTATTATGGTTTGGCTTTAGTTGTGTGATGTTCAAAGGAAAATCCCCAGAAATGTGAATTTAGCTTAACATGATTTTTTTTTCTCCAGTCAAGAAATAATTAATGGTAATATTGTGGATAATAAGATATGAGCCACCTCTAGATATAATTTAAATTCTATTATATATATATATATATATATATATATATATATATATATATATATATATATATATATATATATACATTTATATATATATATATATATGCGTGGCCACGCATTAATAATTCGTGGCCACGAGTTATTTTTTGCCCCTCAGCGTCACCAGACGGGCACCGTAGTAAATAACTTCCAAAAGCCTGAATTGTCGAAATAGAAAAATCGTGATAAAATCGGGATTTTGATTTTGTAAACACAAACTCGTGATATTATTTTTGTTCCATATTTCCCACCCCTAGGAACAATGTGGTTGCTGAAGGAAACATTGAAGGAACATCAGTACGACAGATCCTGGCTGTACTCTTTAGATGTAATATGAAATTAGTAATAACCTCATTTTGCTTTGCATCATCATCCCTTCTGATGTCCCAGACCACCCTTCTACCCAGGAAGTGTTCTGATAGATGTCCATGCTAAATCCTCCCATACATTTTGTCTGTCTACATGTTATCTCTCTGCTACACCTGCCCTTCTGATAGACTAGTCAGTCTTACTCTGTGTTGTCATTGATGTCCGACTGTATGTACAGCATCTCTATCAGTGAAGTGTAGAACAGGCTGCTTTCATTCAGGATGTCACCGATCATCATCAGAGCACCACGACTCAGGTTTCCCTCTTTCACCAGATATTCCTGTTGAACACCAAATGTGAAATGTGACTTCTACAGATTCAATTCAGGTCAGTTTATTTGTATAGAGTCATCTCAAGTTCACACATTCAGTCCACGGTCTGTCTCATCTTTTATTCCAGTCTTACCTTCACTGTGTAGCTGTCATATTTATCCAGCATGGCACGACATCCAAGTGTCTTAAGGTCATCCCTCACCTGATCACAGACGATCCAAAACTCATCATTCATCTTCCAGGCTATTAATTAGTTATTGTATGAATTTTCTGAATCATTACAGACTTTCCAGAGTGTCTCGCTGAAGAGTTGTGCTGCTGACTTCCCCCTCTCCCCGTCATTCAGGCTGTAGTTGAGCACACTAGGGTTGTTCTCCACAGTATGGGCTTTATGTAGAACTCCTTTTACCAAATAGTAGGTGTTGATGTCGTCTTGGACGAAGTGGCTGAGGGGGATTTGTAATTTGGAGATGAGGGAAAGCAGGATCCTGTCATATAAACATTGTTTATTAGTAGCAGCACACACAGCTAGCGTCATATGCAAAATAATCTGTTCCCTTTTTGCTCAATTAGGCTGCCCAAAGAGAGCATGACAGGATTAAAACAAACCTCATTATAGAGTAAATCAGCATTTAGCATAGGCAGGTCTAATGGGTCCACACCCTATTATTCACTCTGAGTATGACGACCAACACTGACGTTAAAATGCTGCCCTGGAAACTGTCCTGACTGTGAAGTTTCAAGTTTCAACATCTGATTTCTTTTGAAAGAGCATAAAAAAAATTCTGTATTATGTTTCTTAGTCGAACAAAGAAAGTTTTCAGAGAATGTACTGGCTGTAGCCAAAAAGAAGAGCCACAATTACAAGATTAGCTTAGAAAATTTGTGCTTTGGTTTCAGAAGTGCAACCATGGAATAATCTAAGAAACAAACAACAAACAGACAAATAAGGAAACAAAGTAAAAATATGACTCAAGAAAAAGGATATAGAAAATAAACATTTTAATCAATGGAACCTAGTTTTAATCCACAATTGAGGGTTCTGTAAAAACACCCGTTGTCTTATGTTAGTTGGAAGCTAAAATAGTTTTGAACAGTCTTTATTGTAATTAGCTGGAAAAATGACAAAGCTGGTGGTGAATGAGTTGCATAACAAAATATGATTAGACTGAAAGATGGCTCAACGTGTTTTATTTTTGCAGCTTTCAGATCAACTGCTTTTCAAGTAGCTCTAAAAGCAGAAGTTTTGAAAATTCTTCTAGATATTATTAGATTTAAAGGCATCAAAATAACATATTTTAGTGTTTAAAAGCCAAATGAATAAACACCCAACTAATAAGGCTCAAACTGGTACATTTAGCAATTTCTATGCTTGCCTTTAAAAGGTGTTTTCTACTTACTAAAAACATGTTGATTTCACAGAATTATAGCAGTTTTATATTCTAGAAATAAAAGTGCTTTAAATGAAACAGCTCATGAAACAAAATAAAGTAAAATGTCACAGTAAAACAAATGGTAGAATGTTAGAGAACTGTGGAACTTTATAAATACCTGATATCTTATTTTGAAGGATCAAGTAGTTTTGTAGTTCTATATAGCTTTTATTTTGTAGGAGCTGTAGTAAAAAATTGTTTGTTGCTCATTCTGGTTATTGCCTTAGACCAAAGGAGGGGAATCCTGGTCCGCCTTCAGCCGCTAACCTGCATGTTTAAGCTGTTTTCCTGCTTTAACTCGCCTGATTTTATTCAGCAGGTGATTAACGAGCTTCTGCTGAACTTGAAGAGCTGCTGAACAGGTGAATCAACCACTGAATCAGGGGTGCTGGAGCAGAGAAACAACCAAAACATGCTGGATACAAGCTCTCGAGGACCAGAATTTCCCACCCCTGCATTAGACCACGATGTCTACTAGGGGCTGCATGACATATTTTTTTTAAAGTCAACAGTCAAGTAATGAAAATCGAGTCGACTTCGACTAGTCGTTGATGATGTCATACACCTGAAGCACGCGGGGGGGGGGGGGGGGGGGGGTGTTCGGTAGGTTCGCTGGAGTGTTTGACAATTAAAATTGCGCCCACATTTTCTAAGTTAACACATCTCTTTTAACAACTGTAGTTTCTGCATCCTACTTCAGCCATCACCCCCCTCCCCCTGCGCAGCAGCAGCAAACTGATGCGCCTGCAGTGGCGACACCTGCTTTGGCGGTGCTCAGGACACAGATGTCTGGAGCGCGTCAACGATCAGAGCTTTGCATGCGCAAACTGGTTAAGATTAGGATGGGGGGGAGGGGAAGGTTAAATTGCAAGAGGGTAAACGTCACAGTTTGGTTAAATGTCCGTTTTACCGCCGGTGTCAGTACCGTCGCTCTGACACAGCGCGTCGCCTCCGCCTCCCGACGCAGGAGCTCATCACCTGCTGGAGGACTGCATCTTGTCAGTCATTATCACGTGACAGCGACTAGTCGATGACAGGCATAAAAAGTCACTACAGAGCCGTGAAGTCGACTAGTGACTAGTTCATACAACACCTAATGTCTACTCACTTATGGAAGCTGGGGATCCTCATAGCACCCACTTCTGCATACCAGCCCTCTCTCCTGTTCCTGAAGGTCTCCACACGACCCCCGATCCGGCTGCTGGCCTCCACGATGGTGACCTTTAAATTCACAGGAGAACATCCCACCTCTGCTACAGCATCCTTCAGATCTCAGCTAATGAATTCTTGGCTTAGAGGGGAATACTACCTTGTGTCCAGCGTCTTCTAAAACCTTTGCAGCAGTCAGTCCAGCCATGCCCCCCCCGATGACTGCTATGTGTTGAGGCATTCTTGTAGGAGGAAGACCGTTCATCATAATGCTGAGAAGCTCGCTGTAGTCTGTGTCTTGGAGGCATTCATAAAGAGGGTCCCCTATCATCCCACTCGCAGTATAAACCACAACTCCCAGTAGAACCAGAGGAGCTGATGGAGGAAGAGACTGGTTAGCTTTCCTCCAAAGCACCATCAGCTTTCAGATTCCCTTCATTGCTGCTGGACGATTCTAAACTCTTTTTGTTCTGGAACAAATTCTGATGTGTTGCTACGTCTCCTTATTAAATTACGAGATGAGTGTGGTCACAGCCACCGGTTTGAAACATACCAAACTTGCAAAGCGCCATGGGAGGCGTCATCTTCAGGACGGATCCCCACAGTTTGGACCGCTTCCCTGTGCAGCTGGTACTGAGTCCTGGAGGGGAAACAGAAACCTAACAAACACAAACATGCTTTGAGTTTACTGAAAAAGTCTGGCACGGTTTCGAAGAAAAGACATTTATTTGTAACTCTTTACAAAACTAAATGTGCTAATTTCAAATAATCTGTCATAGAAACGAATGTACAGTAGTACACAAGCATGCTGAGCATGAGAAGATACAGGCTGACATCTAACTCACCTGTGCCAAAGGGAATGTGCTGTAAGTGGTAGAGGACCTGAGCATGGTTGAGGAGGAATGGCCCCGAGTCTCCAGAGAGCCTTAAGTATGAACACGGTGACTCTACGTGCGCCAGGCTGGACGCTTCGTGCAACATTACACACATGGTCATTTGATGGTGGACTGTGTGGCTCCCTCAGGTCTTCCAGAAATATTTTCCCACACCAGCTCCAAGCTCAACCACACTGAACAAATCAGATTAGTGAGGGTATTCTAGACACCGGCAGGCCTCATTTCCTCCATCTTCACTCATTTCAATTTCTGACCTCAAAGCACTTTTAGTGGCGGTCAGAAGCACACAAGTTCAGTGAAAAGCTGCTTTCTTCACAAGAACACGATCATTATGCGTATTTGATTCTAAATAGAACTATATAAATTGCATTTCTTGCAGAAATGCTGTTTGAATGCTGGATAGCTTAAACTGTTAGCTGAATCAGCTTAATAGCTGAAATGAAGCTGAAACAAGGCTGGATTAACCATATGGGCAACTGGGCAATTGCCCAGGGCCCACGAACTCTAAAGGGCCCAGGGCAGCAAGGGCACGAGCAAAATACTGTAGGCCTATCTGTAACATCCCGCTTTATATTAAACTAGGGTGACCGTACGTCCTGTTTTCCCCGGACATGTCCACTTTTCACTCTCTGTCCGGGGCGTCTGGACTGGGGGTTCTTGTATTGATGAAAAAAGTTTTCTACCTATATTACATCATTTATGGACTCTTTTGAGCAGAGAGCACAGAGAGCGGCACAGCGCGTTGTTGCACAGCGCTCCAGGCAGCTGCTTCCAGCGCACAGTCCATTCTCAAAGTGGCGCAACCAAAAAACTATAATTAGCACACGTTCTCACATGTCTGCACATGTTCTCTATTTTCTGTCTTATTTGCGCCTGAAGCGCTCTGCCACTGCGGAGCTCATCAAATGTGCTGCGGTGATTTCACCTCACTGACGCATCGAAACGCGCTCTCCGCTTTACGGTCAGGAGATCCCTTTGATCTGCTCAAAAGTAACTGATGAGGTGAAAAAGTAAGAATCCAGGCAGCAGTTTTCCTGGAGTTTAGAGGAGATGCAGGAAGATGAGATACAGACAGGACAGGAAATAGTTAAATAAAAACAAGAAAACAAACAAAAAGTGAAATGTAGGTAGATTTATCTCCACTACACGTTTTTACCTGTATAAAACAATAAGTTATACACATGTAATATTTATACATCTGATACAATTCAGATCACCTTCAAAACTCTGTCACACACCCAGGGCCGTTTCAAGGCATTTTGGGGGCCAAGGCAAAATGACCCCCCCCCCCCCCCCCCCCCCCATAGCTGGGCTCCCCAGAAGCCTCTGTGTAATTCATACCCTCTCCAGTAGTGTTAGTTATACAGTTTTTATAAAAGCCCCTCAGACATTACTGACATGTTCTAATGTTATCAGATGAAAAACTAACTCGTCAGACATGCTGTCTCATCTGCTTCTTTTCTAAACTTGTAAAAAGTAACAAAACCATTTGAAAGCCACTATTTGTGGATTCTCTGAAAGTTTCCATGGAGTGTGTGACAAATTATTTTTTCACTGATCCTATCGTCTAATCTCACAGCTGAAACAAGCATTCTTAATAATCTGTGCACAGGAAGTTTACCGATGTTGTAGTAAAACAAAAGGTACAATAACTTCTTATTAATAAAACCTTGTTGCAGCACTAAAGCAGAAAAATGAGATTTTGCCGTATATATGCTAAATATTTACATATGAATTGTTTTAGAGCCCTTTTATTGGCAGAATCTGATATTAATTTAGTTCTTACAAAAAAAAGGATCCCAATGTGGTTTGTTTGGTGTTGCCATAGTGTGACATCATAGGCACAGATACCCTGTCCTCTTGTTTGGAAATGGAAATATGATCACCCTATACTAAACAAACTGTCCACCCGGGCTTTTGCGCTGCACAGAGACGCTTCGCTGCCTACGACTGAACGTCAGTTGAGAGTCAGTCTCATGCAGACTGACCAATGAAGAGAGGGCCTCAAGTTAAGATCCTCTCCTCATTGGTCAGTCCACACAAGGTGGGTTAAAGGTTACCCTGAGCGGGTTACGTGATGTCAGGCATTCAAGTATTGAGTATATTTACTGCATATTACAGTAAAATATTCTGTATGTGACCATATTATGGTGATCCTCGGGTTGTGATGATGGGGCTTTTGAATATTGTTGCCCAGGGTACAACAAAGTGTTAATCTGGCCTTCAGCTGAAACTAAGCAAAACTGTCAAAATTAGTTGAATGTGTTGAAAGATGTAGAAGCAAAAATCACCAACAAGCAAATAAAGCACAAAAAGTATGTGAAGAATGGAGAAAAATAATCCTAAATAGCAAAAAACTTACTTCTGTGAACACTGTATAAAAATCTGGACAGCTAAAATGTCTAAACACCTGTTATTTCAGTTGGACAAGTTTAACAGTTTAATCTTTACATTTAGCTGAACTGTGAAATTAGCAGTTTATGCTAAATTTGGTAACTGATTCCTGAAATTGTTGAATAGCTGAAGTGAAGCTGAAACTAAGCTAAACTGTCAAAATGAGCTGAATGTATTTAAAGATGTAGAAGCAAAAATCACCAACAAGTGTAATAAAGCTCAGAATATAGGTGAAGAATGGACAAAAAATGCAGAAAACTTTACTCTTTGAACAATGATTAAAAACTCGAAATTTGAAATGTTAAACAGCTGGCATTTGAATGATAATAGTTTAACGGGTACATTTTTACAATTGGCTGAACTGTGAATTTAGAAATATTTGCTGATATCTGAAACTGATAGATTAACATATGTTCAGACTTGATATGGGATGGATGAATGGTTGGATGAATGAAATGACGGATGGATTGTTGGATGGATGTTAGACGGTTTATTGGATGGATGGATGCATAGAAGCATGTATGGATTTATATGTAGATGGATGGATTCCTTAGGCCAAGTCGATCGATTTGATATCTCACTTGTGTGGGTGTGTATTTCCATTTAGCCAGAAGATGATTGACTTCTCTCAACCAATCAGGGAGCTGGGAGGGAGTGGGGCACTCTAGTTTTCATTTCTGTGAATCAGAATTTGACATGTTTTAGGCTTTACCAAACATCCCTCAGAAACCACACCTGATGTTTTTGTTCTGTGAATAAAGAATCTTTAAACTTTATGTGAGGTGACCTCAACCTGAATTTGCATCTAATGAACATTGTGTATGAGTGTAGATAATGATTAACTTGTTAAATCAAACATTACTGATCATAACATATAAATGGATCATTGTAATAATAATATTCATTTCAACTTCACTGAATTAGGCACGGAACATTCAGACGTTTCATATAACATCTGGTTCATTCAGCCATATGACTATTTAATGCTTATTTAACTTAAGAGTTGTAAAAGTTCACTTTTCATTCAGAGTGTCGAATCCAGCAGTCTGAGATGAGTTTGACAATCTTGTCCTCATGGAATGTCAACAAGCACTGCAGAATCTTCTGGGTGTTAGAAGATCAATCAATCAAATCAAATCAAAGATACTTTATTAATCCCAGAGGGAAATGAAAGTTTCAGTACACACAATTCAGAGATCAGACATACATGGGCAAGACACATGACAAGAATTGGTGACTGTGGTCATTCGCAACCCTGAGTCGCGCTACCTTAATAGAGATAAGAGGGTTACATGAGGATTGGTTCAGGTGGAGGGGAAAAAAAGGCACTTCAGAGTTACCCTCCACAGGGAGGGCAGCTTTGCTCTGCAAAAAAACCCCACCTCAAACATATATGCAACAGACTTCAGACAACACAACATAAGTGTCCACTAGGTGGGGTGGTGGGTTGGGACTATCCCTACTTCAGTTCCTGCAGCCACGATAGAAGCAGCGCATGTCACCTCAGTGTGGATAGGGGGAGGAGCATTGAGGAATAGAGGGTTGCAGTGACTCTGGAACGTTTCAGCGGCCTTCCCCCAGTCCCGCCCAGGCTGGGAAAGGACACAGAGTTGAGTTGCCATAGCGACGGCACATTCCATATATCTTCTGAGGGTGGAGTTTTCATTGGAGCCTTGCTGGCTCAAGGGCGCCAGATTCTGATTAGAAATTGTTTTGGGGCCAGACAGAGATAATTTCCTCCCTGTCTTACAATTTGTTGGCCCTCAACCTCTCAAAATCCCAATAATGGACATTAATCTGTCCCAATCCGTGCTGATTCGTCCACTCTCTCCTTGATGGCATCCATCTTTTGTGCCAAAGAATGAATCTCCGCCAAAGTCCCAAGCTTACGATTCATCTCGACAATTATTTGTCTGTGAATTCACAGCGCGGTGCAAACCATCTCTGAGCTCCGGGATCAATATTCCTCGACAGCTCGTTAATTTTCCGGTAAGCCAGGTAGCCTCCAAGGCCAATGAGCAGGAAACCTGACACCAAAACCACGAATATCCACACGTCTTCAGAGTCCTCCACAGACAGCTGAGAAAGGCAGATCAAGTTCCACTGTTTCCAGGAGCCCATGATGTGTCCAACTGGGTCTGTCCCGGCAGGGCATCCGGGAGCCCCTTCTCCCGTTCTCATCGTTGAAAAATTTTTATCAATCGCGTTGAGAGACCAACTGATGAGATCCATTTAAGTGAATTTCAGTTTCCAGTTTCCAGAAAAATGCAGAAGCAGCCGTGCACCCAGCACACACAGACAGACAAAGGCCTTGAGGATAAGACTTGGAGGAGAGGAGGAAAAAAAAGCATCTGCACCCTCCAAGAGCCGGAAGAAGTAGCAACTCCACCTAGATAGTGGAATTATGTCTGTAGGTGACCGGTCACTATGTGGTCAATGTGTAGGTCAAAATTGTTCTTTTCTGGATGTTACAGCAATAACATCCATTCTATCCCTCTTGTTGCCAAAGACAATGACTTCAGTCTAGTCTTTTTTTAGTTGAAGGAAGTTTGACTGCACCCAGTCGTTTACATGCTCTAGGCACAGACAGAGTGAGTCCAGTGGACGACAGTCACTAGGTGATAAGGCTAGGTAGATCTGGGTGTCATCAGCATAGCTATGATAGGCAATGTTGTTATTAATTGCGATTAATTTATATATATATATATATATATATATATATATATATATATATATATATATATATATATATATATATCTTAGAACAGGTTGTGATTTGTAATTTGAATGTCTCTGACACAGCAATAAAATTGCTAAGAATTTAAATGTATTTTATTTATAAGAAAGAATGATATTTGTTCTTTGTTGTTAGTTTTTGGGAATTATTTGAGCTATAGTTGATTTCCGTTTGCAACAGAAAACTTATATTTATTTATTGAAGTCTGATAAATAAGTGTTCTGTATTGTAAATGGTGAGTGTGGTGTTGCTGATCACAACATTTTAAGTATTAACTTAGAAATACGTCTTTCCCAGTTTCTAACTAATTTGGTTCAAAAAGGTGGGGAAGGGTAAGGTATGCAGGCCTACACTCAGCATAGCTCAGAGGTGCTTAAACTATATCTCCCAAGAGTCTTAGCGGCTGACGTCACAATAAGGCAGGAAGTAAACATGAGTAAGTGAGGTCAGAAACGCTCACTGTACCGTGACAGACCAAACAGGTTATTTATTTTAATTTTTATTGTTAATTTGTCGCTACGGACGTAGCCGCTCCGTCACTAATGATGTAGCTGACGCGTTAGCATAATGCTAATTAGCCGAAGCTTGCTGTGTGCTATCTGACAAGATTATACGCAGTTTAAATAACCTCTGATCCTCAATTAGCCTTTGACTCCGGTTATATGTAATACACTGCGATGGCACCAAGTTTCATTCGGTTTTAGTTGGTTTAATAGCTAAGTGTTTTTCAAAACAGATGCTAGTTTAGGGTCAGGCCTAATGACAAACAAACATCTGTTGAGTGCTTGTAAACTCGTTTTTACATCGGTAGCAAATCCTTCCGTTGGTGGGTGTTTTGTGTTGTTTAACAGAACCATTAACAGCAGTAGATCTGACGTCGCTACCTTCAAAGTGGTGTAATGATTTACTGCGTTAATGGTTATTTATTACTGAATCATCACGAGATTTGTGAACGTGAATAGTCGAGAAATTTATAGTTGAGCTTTTCTGCTGCAGTCAGACTATTAATCTGATAGTTTATTTCTAACAGCAGAACGTGGAGCAGCTGTTCAGACTCTCAGATTAAGGTGAAGTGTTTCTGAGCTTTCATTTGGATGTGATTTTTATGAAAAAGTACTTTAGTGGAGGCCTGAACCTTCATCTGCGTCTATGCAGGCTCTGTGAATCCCACACACGTATACATCTGTCTCTCACGAATGTTACAAAATCTGTGTTTTATTCTCTGTTTTGTTTTTCAGGATGTGATGCGTTCCTGGCTAGTGTGATCGTGTTTGAGGAGGAAGAACATGGCTGATGTGTTGGGACAAAGAAGCTTGCTGGGCTTTGGTGTGCTGTTGGCATGGTTTGTGCTGTTTCACTTGCTGGTCAACGTCTGGCTTCTGTGTGTATTCACCAGCCTGCTGCTGGTGATCAGTGGTTGGTTCGGCTCGCAGGCCATTTTGCAGTCAAACACCATGATTCACCTGGAGAGATTTATCATCCTGGAACAGGTGCATGTACAATGAAGTCATAGTTTTTGCTTTTTATTTATAATAACAATCAGACAAATGCAAGATGACCTCAACATACATCGCCTCATATCCATCTACACATGACTTTGTTATGTTCCAGGTGCCTCCTTCTGCAGAGGAAGAGCAACATTTAGACAAGGAGATCCATAATACAGTGAAAAAAATCATCAGGGACTTTGTCACTTCCTGGTACTCTACTGTGTCCTTGGAGTGCCAATTTGAAATGGAAGTTGAAGAAGCCATGCTCTGCTTGGCCACGGAGCTGAAACAGCGTGCCAGACGTATCGATAGGAAAGTAAGAAGCTTAAAAACTTGTGCACACATGCAATGTATGTAAACTGGGAGAAGGCCAGGCCTCTGCCGAGACTTGAGTCTGAAAATCTGCAAAATACTTTTCCCTTTTTTGCCAAAAAAATTTGCCTCGCCCACGTGCTCGGAGTAGCGGTCATGACATCACAGCCGACAGACCACCTGTGTGCTCGATCATGTCTGCATTCCTAAGGCAGTGTGGAACGAACGCAGCCAGGCTTGGGCGGGCGGGCGGAGTGGAGTGGAGCCGATGTTGGCGCATAATTGGCAAAAGTCCCCCCGTCTACTTCCAGTTCATGAGTCCCCAACTTTAAAAAAAAAATGAATGAGTGATAAGTTATTTTCTGAGCCTGTGTGATATGTACCATGGATTTAAATTATGATGTCCGTGAGTTTTAAAAACACATTTTGATGCCACAAAGCACTTTTTTGACAGGTGGCAAAAGTTATTTTAGGTTTTGTGTGAAAACACGTAGAGGACTAGCCTAGAAATCTCGACCACCAGTTGCCAAAGCAAAATGATTTTTCTCTACATGTCAGTCTAGCCACTCTCTATTGGAACCTCCACAGCCCCGGCCAGTCTGGTGGCTGGCCAATCACTGCACTTTACTGGATTGGTGGGCCAATCACAGCGCTCTGACAGGATGTTATTGCAACTAAGATGGCGATGGCATGTTGGAAACCGCTTTGGTATCAACTTTGGACTATTTAGATTTGGGCTTTTTTTTGAGTCAAGAGCATAAAGCGGTAAAGTCTTGTTTCGGAGTATTTCTCTTTTCCGATGGCACCATCTAGTGGCTGACAAGCATATCACACTCCTTCCATTTTTTTAAGATGGCGACTTCACGTTTCTCTTTATAAATGTGCTTCAGTAGCCGACAAACAACTAAAACACGTTGTTTTACGAGTATTATTCTCATTTCATGTTGTCTTCTCATATATTTATATTTTAAACGCTTATTTGTCCGTGAAAAGTTCATCAACTCTGCATCAGGCGAGGTATTCCTTAAATTTGAAGCATGTAAGCGGTAGTCTAACGCTATTGGTTAGTTCTGGTCGGCGCTCAGTTTCCTATTGCATGGAGCTCTGTGGGGCAGGGGGCGTGCTTAGCAAAAAAAAAAAGACGTATTGCTTACATCATATCACAGTACATGACAAGATAATCACTTTTATGGATTTCTGGAAAATCATGCATCATTTCTGAAAGGGGAAAACTCCGGAAAGATACTTTAAGCAGTTTTTTTAAAGAAAAAAAAAAGTATTTTCGTTTTCTTCAAAAAAGTATGGTGGACGTGACGTCCCCGTTGACTGACATCCGTTGCTGTGAGTACATCATGTTGTTTGTTGTCCAACAGCATGCAGAGACCATTTGAAAAAGAACCATAGATTCTGCCCCACGACTGAGAGCCATCATTGAGTCCTGCCCTGACCATAAATTCACATATGTAGGATGGCTTACCAGGCTAGTAGAGGACTACAAGTGCCTGGCGTCATCAAACCAGACAAGGAGAAAAACAATCGCTGTGAGTTTAGCGAGCTTCACATCCTTGTTCCAGGATGAAAGAAGAACCTTGAACGTGGAGAAAACCACCTGTCATGTCATATATTCAACTTGTAATTTGTAGATTAGGAATTTTTACAAGCTAATAAATGTCAAATTAGGTGACAAACATTCCAAACACACATAATTACAACAATTGTGTGATTCAGAGCGTAAGGCAAAGCAGATTAGAAAATAACTTTTATAGCCCCGTTCACTTCCATTCTGTTTTGTTTTGCCATCGGAAAAGAGAAATACTCTTAATTAGCCATCTGATGCCTTGACTTTAATATTGGCTGTAGAAAGCCCTTCACTGGTTTACCTCTACAGCTGTATTTTTAGTCGTTTGCTTTTATAGGCTATTTTTGTTTTGTCTCCTTTTATTTTGTATTGAATACATTTGCATATAGATCTTTTCCAAGCCATAATCATGGCCATGTTGTAGGTCTCAGCATGCTCCATTTCTACCAGACACCAATAGAAATAAGAATAATGTGAAGTTTCAGACTTTAAAAACCAAACTTTTTTTTTATTAATGAGTAATTATTCCCTGCAGGAACTGACCCAGAAGTTCCTTAACCTGCTGGGAGGTCACCTGCAGGACTATCTAAGAGCCAAGCAGCTGGTGGTAGAAAACCATCCCACAGAGAAGAACCAGCTGTGGAAAGCGTATTCCAATATCACTACGCCCCACATCACCATGAACGGTGACATGGAAGAACTCAACTATGTCAGAGCGGTTGTGGATTTGTTGTTGCATGTTTTGGTGCCATCGCCTCATTTAGAAACCCGTACGGGACGCTTTGTTGTTGGAGAGCTCATTACCTGCAACGTCCTCCTCTCTGTTGTTGCTAAGTTATCTGACCCAGACTGGTTGAACCAAGTTTTGATTGAAATTCTTGGTACATCCAGCACAGCACATGAAACAAGAGCAGAAGAGTCACCAACTTCTTCCCACCCTCCACCTTCCACTGAGTCTGAGGAGGCTCCACCTCAGCAGGCAACACTTGCACCTGAGATGAATAGTGAGGTTTCTCCACCTGGGACAGAAATGGAGCAGATTGACACCACAGACCTGGCTGTTCCTGAGCCCACTGCCCACGATGAGGCGGACTCTGAGGAGGTACATGTGTTTGCTGAAGAAGATGAAGATACTCAATCCTTTTTAAGGCATTACATGGGAGGGAGAAAGTTAAACCCTTTCTACCAGGAAAATGACTCAGACTTGGACTCTCCTTTAGCCAGCTATAAACCAAGTTCCACCGACTCGCTGCTCATGATGGGTCAACAAGAGGATCTGTATGATGGCTCCAAAGAGTTTCCTACAGCTGCTGAAAGCAGTAATGAAGTGGACTTGGAAGATGTCTCATGTCCTAAAGTCCTGGTAAATTCAATACTTGTGGAGTGTCCTGCTGACAGGGGTACATCTTTGGTCCAGAGAACAGAGGAGCCTTACAGCATCAGCATCCTTCAGGAACAGAACAGAGAGGGTAGCTCCTTCGTGGAAAACCCAGACAGGAATCTGCTTTTAGGAGTAGAGCAGACTGGAACGGGTATTCCAAATGAACTGACTATCACAAGTCCACTGCAGACTGGTTCTCCAGTGTCAACGTTCAGCTTTGAGCCCCTCAGCAGCCCTGAAGGACCAGTCGTCATCCAGAACCTTCGCATCACAGGCACCATCACTGCTAAGGAGCACAGAGGAACTGGCTCGCATCCCTACACGCTCTATACCATCAAAGTGAGTGACATGCTCTAAACCAGCTGCTCTGTAATCCACTTGACTGGTAGTGTTCATCTGCAATGTCTCTAAATCACGTAAGATTCAAATGTTACAACCCAGAGATGACCTTAAAACCAGAACTGAGTTTGTTTAAAGATGTTTTTGAAGGTTTGCAGGTTCAGCCATGACAGTTTTACTTGGTTAACACTAGTGATGCACCAATATGAAATTTTTGGGCCGATACCAATATCCGATATTAACATCACTGTTATGGTCGATAACTGATATTTGCCGATACCGATATACTGTCATTAATACTTTTTAATTCAGCAGATTTTGTATAGAATGAAACCTATTAAAGCTGAATTTATGTTATTATGTTCACACACCACACACATTTACACTTCCAAGATGATTACAATCACTGTCACATGACTAAACAAATACACATCACCCCCTCTCCCTCTGAAACAGATAAACAAATGGAAAAAAGATGGAAAAATATTGTTGTTAACATCAGCCCGGTTTTATTTATCACACCGATACCGATATGTTAAAAAAGGACTAACATCGGCCGATACTGATATTGATGCCAATATATTGTGCATCCCTAGTTAACTAAAAGATCCTGTTACCTCTATTGCTCGTTCATGCCGCTTTGCGCTGTATAGCGTACGAAAGATCTGACCATACCTAACACAACGTGCCACCCAGCTCCTGGTGCAATCTACTGTCATCTCCCGCCTCGATTACTGCAATGCTCTTCTAACTGGTCTTCCAGCCTGTACTGTGGGACCTCTTCAAATGGTCCAGAACGCAGCGGCGTGTCTGGTCTTCAATCAGCCAAAGAGAGCTCATGTCACCCCTCTGTTCATTGAGCTCCACTGGCTACCGCTAGCAGCACACATCAAATTCAAATTGCTAACACTAGCATACAAAGTCTGAGACGGTACGGCTCCCATCTACCTGAATCCTCCTGCAAAGGCTTACGTCTCGGCCCGGCTGCTCCGGTCATCACAGGATTGTCGGCTAGCAGTGCCTATACCACGCTCAGGACAATCCAGACTCTTCTCATGCATCGTTCCACAAATGTGGAATGACCTACCAAGCACCACCAGAACAGCGGCTTCCTTTTCCATTTTCAAGAAACTCCTGAAGACCCTGCTCTTCAGAGAGCATCTTCTAAACTAGCACCCTCCCTGCACCCGTCCCCCCCTCTACTGTCCACTCCTTGTTCCCTACTCTCCATGATTGATGTCAAGTTGTTGTTGTTGTTGTTAGCCTCAAGGGCAACATGCCGATTAGACGCTTTGGACAAAAGCGTCTGCTAAATACATAAACATAAACTAAAGGCACACAGACACATGACCAGGAACACGGCAGGGTTCACTTCTTGCTGTTAGCTTTTAGGCCTTCTCTTGTTTCACTGTTATTGTTGGTGAAGTCGTGTGGAACATAGCATAAAAAATAACCCCCCCCAAAAATAAAATAGGAAAAATGTTCCCGCTTTAAGTGTTGGCTAGCTCATTTTCTGTTATTATTCTTTAGGCGTTTAAACACCAGTTAATCACCCACAATTCTGTCTGAAGGAACCGGATCCGTTGATTGTGTTCCTGTCAGTTTTTCCACACCGAGTATCTAAATAGTAATAATTACAGATTATTTATGAGTCCAATCATCTGCATTAGACATAAATCCACAGGGGTTCCAGTTTACATGACGTGTTTTAAACATGTTTTCTTCTGAGAAATGTGGAAACGGAGGAAACGGTTCATTAAACGTACAATCATTACAAAAGGCTTTATGGAAGGTGAAAGAATGTAAAGAACTTGTTTTAGTTCTTTAAAGGTGAGAAAGGCATCGCCCTGTCCTGGTGGTCTGGTAAATGTGATAGTGGAGGTGCAGTAGTCGTGGCCAGGTGTGGCCCAGGTAGGGCAGAGCAGGCTTCATGAGGTTGTTCTTGGTGCAGTTTGAGGTTTTTGTTCTGAAGCCTCACATGAAAGGGTCTGCCAGCGCTGCTTGATGTGCAGATTTGACTGTTACCCAACAGTCGCTCTAGGAAATGGAAAAAGCTCCTCACTATCAGCTCTGATTGGAACCAGAAGAAGTGAGGCTTGAATGAAAGACTAGTTTGTCACACCAGCAAATGAAATGTGTAAAATTTCAGTTCAGTTCATTTTTATTTCAAACATTTCACACATGTATCATTACAAAATACAATTCCATTATTTGTTTGAAAAGGAGTAGTATTTACTTATTTGTCCGTACCCCCAAGTTTGACCTCTTATTCATTTAATTTTCTTTCAATCTTAAATTAAACAAACAACATATGAAAAATATATATATAAAAAACAAAACAACATATGGAAAACAGAGAATGTGTAAATTTGCAGATTCACCAGTTATGGAGAAAAAAGAAAACCCAAACAAACCAAAAAAACATCGAAAAAGAAGCGCAGCAGCATAACCAGCCGCATTACCGTCCTGGTTTAACCCTGTTTTCTTCATCCTTATACTTATTTAAAATTAGGTTTTTATATTTTACTTTAAACTGGTTTATGTTTCTTTGATCTCTTCTGTTAGACTGTTCCATAATTTAACTCCTGCAATTGCGTTTGACAGTTTTTAAAGTTGTTCTAGCACTTTGTATTTTTAAATTACACTTCCCTCTTAAGTCATACCCACCTTCTCATTCTTTGAACAATGAACAGATTTCTTTTGGAAGCAATTTATTTCTTACTTTATACATTATTTGCGCTGTTTTGAGCTTCACCATAGTCTAACAGAAAATTTACTAATAGAACTGCTTTGTTTCAGTGGTCTCTTATTAAATCTACTAGTAAAAATGTTGTCTTATAGATGGTTTCATTGTGCTGAACTGGGATTGTGTGTAGCTTAAAACCTGCTGACCACAGCCACTCACATACTCTTGCTTAGAGCTGTGCTTCAATGTGACTCTGATCCAGAACGGTCCTCTCTGTGTAACGTGTATCAGACATGAACAGTGTGAATGCCTCACCTGCAGCTGTTTTGGTCTTCAGTATGAGACATCAGTGGGTTGTGAGACCCCAGGAAGCATCCAGCCAAGCTCTGAGGATGTAGAAGTCATTCAAGCCAGTGGGGAGAATCCGTTGTCCATCCAGCCTGTAGCCTATCACATGGTCAACAGGCGATACAGCGAGTTCCTCAACCTGCAGACTAGGCTGGAGGAGAAAACCGAACTGCGGAGACGTATCAAAGGTTTTGTCTTCTGTTCTGCTTGAGTCAGCTTTTAAAGGGTGATGATTTGGAAAGCCATGCACACTTTTTGAATTTCTCTGATTTGTTTGGTCTTTGATCTGTTCCAGGTGTGAAAGGCCCAAAGAAATTATTTCCAGACATGCCGTTTGGAAACATGGACAGTGACAAGATCGAGGCCAGGAAAGGTTTCCTTGAGACCTTTCTAAAGGTCGGTGTGCTTTAATTTCATCTCCCCTGTTTTTTTCTGCTCTACTGTCACACTTACAAATGTACTGCTGGGTCTGGTTATCTTCCAGCAACTTTGTGCCATTCCTGAAATATCCACCAGTGAGGAGATGCAGGAGTTCCTTGCTCTCAACACAGATGCCAGGATTGCTTTTGTTAAAAAGCCTTTCATTGTGTCACGCATAGACAAGGTAGGACTTCTATTCTGATCAGGTCTTTTTCTTTTCCGGTTCACCTGTGTGCAAAATAATTTTTATACTGTGGTGTAGCAGCACAAATAAAAGTACGTATTCATACACAATCCTGATTTATTTCCTCTGATTTAGCTGTTTTTGTAAAAAAAGATGCATAAATAAATAAAACATAGTATGATTATTTTGTGTGTATTATCCAGGCTTTTAGGCTCTGCACCATGGCTGGGTGGCTTGTTGTGTTGCACAAAACTAGAACTTGTGCTAACTTACCTCAGACTAGTTAAACATGTCAGTCATGGGTTCCTTTTCCGATCTGCTGCAGGTGATAGCCAAATAATCAACATTTCATTGACTTCTGTTGTTTTAGTATTGTATATTTGAAGTCCAGTCATTCTTTGTTAAATGTTCCTTTACATCCAAACTCAGATTGTTTTTCCACAGATCAGATTTATTTCTGGTGACATCTTCATTGTTAAAACTTGTGAGGCTGATGAGACTTGTCTCTGGACAATAATGTATAAATCTGTGTGTATGTGTGTTTCTGTCTGTAGATTGTGGTGAATGCTATTGTGGACACCCTGAAGACTGCATTTCCTCGGTCAGAACTCCAGAGTCCAACTGAGGACAATGAGGCAGAGGTGGATGGAGGGAAGTTGTGCACGGAGAAGAAGAGTAGGTATGATTGGTATTTTGTTTCTTATCTGACTTGCTAGGAGAGGGTTGATTCAGCTGCATAAGTTGTTTTCTGTAGATGTGTCTTTTAGGATTGGAATATTTCAAATGAAGTGCGTTAGCTGGATTTGTGTTAGAATGTTGAAAAATAACTCCCTAGTATAAAGGGATATATTTACTACAAACTTGAGGCTTTTAATTACCTTTGTCTAAATGTTATATTAAAAAACTTTTTAATTAAAGTTTGTTTTAATTTTTTTTTTCAAATTTAAATGAGTCATGACTCAAAGTATCATTATAAAAGCAGGACACTTATATTGAGAGATGGCAGTAGGATATAAGACATGAACACCAGCCCGACTTAGCAAATCTACAAGAACATCTTGGAATTCAAAAAGCTGATGGATATACACCCTTTTGACCTGGGTGGATCTACACAAGGGCTGTGTGGATCTACACCATGGCTGGGTGGATCTACACCTTGACTGGGTGAATCTACACCATGGTTGTGTGGATCTACACCTTGACTGGGTGAATCTACACCATGGTTGTGTGGATCTACACCTTGACTGGGTGGATCTACACCTTGACTGGGTGGATCTACACCATGGTTGTGTGGATCTACACCTTGACTGGGTGGATCTACACCATGGTTGTGTGGATCTACACCTTGACTTGGTGGATCTACACCTTGACTGGGTGGATCTACACCTTGACTGGGTGGATCTACACCATGGTTGTGTGGATCTACACCTTGACTTGGTGGATCTACACCTTGACTGGGTGGATCTACACCTTGATTGGGTGGATCTACACCAGCGGTTCCCAAACGTATTTAGCCGCGCACCCCCTTCTATGTCCCGACCATGTCGATGCACCCCCCAGCCCCCGCATCAGGGCATGGCTATATGTCTATACATACATACATATATATATATATATATATATATATATATATATATATATATATATATATATATATATATATATATATATATATATATATATATATATATATGTATATATATGTATATACCACTGTGGCTGGGTGGATCTACACCTTGACTGTGTGGATCTACACCATGGCTGTGTGGATCTACACCATGGCTGTGTGGATCTACACCATGGCTGTGTGGATCTACACCATGGCTGGGTGGATCTACACCATGGCTGGGTGGATCTACACCATGGCTGTGTGGATCTACACCATTGCTGGGTGGATCTACACCATTGCTTGGTGGATCTACACCGTGACTGTGTGGATCTACACCTTGACTGTGTGGATCTACACCGTGGCTGTGTGGATCTACACCGTGGCTGTGTGGATCTACACCATGGCTGGGTGGATCTACACCATGGCTGGGTGGATCTACACCATGGCTGGGTGGATCTACACCATTGCTGGGTGGATCTACACCATTGCTTGGTGGATCTACACCGTGACTGTGTGGATCTACACCATGGCTGGGTGGATCTACACCATTGCTGGGTGGATCTACACCATTGCTTGGTGGATCTACACCGTGACTGTGTGGATCTACACCTTGACTGTGTGGATCTACACCTTGACTGTGTGGATCTACACCGTGGCTGGGTGGATCTACACCGTGGCTGGGTGGATCTACACCGTGGCTGTGTGGATCTACACCATGGCTGGGTGGATCTACACCGTGGCTGGGTGGATCTACACCGTGGCTGGGTGGATCTACACCGTGGCTGGGTGGATCTACACCGTGGCTGGGTGGATCTACACCGTGGCTGGGTGGATCTACACCGTGGCTGGGTGGATCTACAACATTGAAGGCACAGCCAACATGGATATGGATATCTAACTTGACTCTTATCAATAGAAAAGATTCAATAAACTATTTATTTAGTTACATCGACAACAAAGCTCACTACAAAAGTGTTCTGGGATAAAGGAACAGTTAACGAACCCTCAGACATCATGTTTTTTGTGTATAGATTCTCTAAAGATTGCAGTTTTAAAATGTTTATGTGTAATTTATGTGGTGGGTTTGATCATCTACTGTATTTGTTTAAATGCTCCTAGGTCTCGTCTGAAACCCTCCGGTAAGAACATCCCGTTTCTGAACGGCTCAGACATTAAACCAACAGTTCTGTTTGGTTGGGACCAAACCAACAGAGTGAGTCACCTGACAAATAGTTCCACCTTGATTTTTCTATTGGAAAATTGAAAAAAGTATCTATTGGATTCTTTTTTTTTTTTATCAAACAATACCACTGATATTAGTATTTAAAAAAACAATCTTTACTGACTCCAGTCACTTCTTTTTCTATTTGGATTCTCTTGCTTTTCTCCAACAGGTTTTTAATGGGATGCTTCTGGAAGATTTTCAGGCCTTTATCACTGAATTGGAGAAGCTTTCAATCAGAAAGATGGTGGAGATGGAGGGTAGCCCAGTGCTGGGACAGGAAGTTGCTTACATGTATCCGGACAGGAGGGAAAAGCAGAGTCAGGGACATGGTAAGGAAGAATCGGTTTGTCCTGATGTGGGTTTAAAGAAATCCTGGAGCAACTTCAAAGTTTGTTTCAATATATAAAACTTAAAAACCATCAACATGTTGGAGAACTATAAATCACTGTGAACAATCGACTTTTAAAGCCTAATTTAGGGGACTGAACAGGTTAGCTGTTCCTTTATTGCTCAAAAAATGATGTTACTAATCCATTCTAAGAAAACATCTAATCATTCACATGAAGTAGATTTGTTATTATCCTAGCCAAGGCTGCCCAAAGTGCAGTACATGATAAAATCATAGATCATGTACATAAAATTAGAAGCAACCTATAAGATCATGCTAAAAATAAATGTCACATGATGCAAAACACCCAAAAGGCCCTTCAAACAATAAAATCAAAATGCACAAAACTCTTAAAAACAATAAAACAACAAAAATAACAAACAAATATTCCACGATATAACCAGAAAATAACAGCAAAACCAGAAAACAAAGAAAACCAGAAGGAAGTTAACTAATTTGTAATACTGCTTCAATTTAGCGTTAAAACTCCAGACAGTCGATGACTGTTTAATATCTAGTGGGAATTTCTTCCACTCTTCAGGCCAGTATTGCAAAGGCTCGCTCCCCTCAAGACCTGCAGTTAAACCTAGGCTCGACCAACATATCTGTCAGGGGCTTGCACAAACCAGCCAGAGAAGCACTGCTGATGAGTCTGAAAACTCCATTTTATTTTGGAGAAGCTTCAAAATTAACATGAACTTCACCTAATCAATGTTAATTAGTCAGAATGACACCAGCACAAGACACACTATCCAGGAAAAACCCCATTTCAGACACAACAGGTTCAACTTAAATAGTGGCTGATCAGACCACTCTACAAACAAGAGGGGAACAATTAACATACAATTAACGCACACATCCTCACACACAAACTAACCAGTCTAATCAACTCAGGTAACTCAAATAACTATATCATAATTACAAACTCCCTATCCATAACAGAAAATATCTATATTAAATTAAACACAAGCATAAACATGAATCTCCCCTCCCTTGGGAGTAGGTAGATCCCAGGAGTGCTGATTAGGCTTCTTAAGGACTGGAGATATGTGCTCTCATCTTTTTACCCCATAGATGAACCTGGCTGCAGCTTTGCAGACTGCTATTGCAGACTAAGTCATTCCTGCATACCGGGAGCTGCAGCCTTGATAGTACAAACGCATCCATCACAGTCTCTAAATGCTTTCTCAAAATGACTTGACTTTAGATAGGCGGTGTAGCTGAAAGATGCAGGATCTGACTATTGCAGTCACTTGGGCATCAAATGACAAGGCAGAGACTAGTTTTACACCCAGATCACTGATTACAGTTTGTTCATATAGGCTCAGTGACATGAGGCTCGCAGTCATTGCGAGTAAAAACTATGACCTCTGTCTTGTTGCCATCCAAAAACGTACCTCGTTTAAACAGTTCACCAGAGGCGAGGCGAGTCGTACCCAATGACCCCTGACTTGGTGGCAAATAAATTTGACAGCCGTCAGCTTACAAAGGAAACTTACATTGTACTTCTGAAACAACATTTCCAGGGGGAGTACCGTATTTTCTGGAGTATAAGTCGCTCTGGAGTATAAGTCGCACCAGCCATAAAATGTATAATGAAGAAGAAAAAAATATATAAGTCGCATTTTGGGGGGAAATTTTATTATTTTTCATACAAAATCTGAGACCAAGCGTTTCACATTGCAAGACAAGTACCGGTAACAATAACAGAATAAACAACCAGGGCGCACCACGGTCTCCAGCAGAGGATGGCGGTGTTTCAAACCCTCCCAGCAGGCGGGGAGAGCTCATTCCTGGGCCTGAGCCGGCCCGCAGCACCCCGCCACAAGCTGCAGCAGGTGATGGCTGTGTTTGAAACCCTCCCAGCGGGATAGCGGAGCTCATTCCTGGGTCGGAGCTGCCCGGCCCGCAGCAGCTCGCCACAGGCTCCAGCAGGTGATGGCGGGGCAGAGGAGCTGAAACCTGGACCGTAGCCAGCCCACAGCAGCGCGCCACGGTCTCCAGCAGGTGATGGCGGGGCAGAGGAGCTCATTCCTGGTCCAGAGCCGGTCCGCAGCAGCGCGGTACACATTATTTGGTATATAAGTTGCTCTGGAGTATAAGTGGCAGGACCAGCCAGACTAAGAAAAAAAGTGCGACTTATAGTCCGGAAAATACGGTAGATAGATGTAACAAAGCAAAGGGCCTAAGACAGACCCCTGAGGATACCCCCATTTCAGAGGAGTTCATTCAGGTTTGATGACCTCTGAGCATGGACAGCTCTCTTTAACTTACATTGCAGATTTTCAGTTATAGTCAGGTCTGGGGACTGAGGTGGCCATTCCAGAACATTGTCATGGCGCAGCTTCCGCTTTGCCAATGATTTGGTCTCCAGAATCTGCTGATATTGAGTGGAATCCATGCGTCTTTCAACTTTAAAGATTCCCAGTCCCTGCACTGGCCACTCAACCCCACAGCATGATGGAACCACCACCATGTTTTACTGTAGCTAGCAGGTGTTTTTCTTGGAATGCTGTGTTCTTTTTCCTCCATACATAACACCCCTTGCTATGCCCAAATAACTCTGTTTTAGTTTCATCTGTCCACAGCACCTTATTCCAGAATGAAGCTGGCTTGTCCAAATGTGCTTTAGAATACCTCAAAGAAAATATTCAAAGAGGAGGGAAACTTACAGCTGGCCCCTTAAATACTCTTTCTCATAATTGGATTCACCTGTGTATGAAGGTCAAAGGTCACTGAGCGTGCCAACCCAGTTTTGAGTTCCAATAATTAGTTCCAAAGGTTTTGGAATCAACAAACTGACACCAGTTCCCACATTTATGCACCTGCCTAATTTAGCTTAACCAATTATTGCACACTTTCTGTAAATCCTATAAACTTTATTTCACTCCTCAAACATCACTGTGTGCGTCTCCTATATGATAAATTTAACTGACATTTTTATCGTAACAACCAACGATTTATACAGGAAAATCATGAAGATTAACGAAACTGCTCAAACTGTTTGTTCTCAAGCCATGTCGATATCAATTTCAAAGTCCACTTTACTAGTTATCTATTTTTCATATATATGATTGAGGTATCTTCTGATTAATAAAAAACGACTGAAAATTATGGTTTCTGCAGATGTAGCAGAAACTTGTTTGCTTGTTTTATTTTCCTTGCAAAAGCTGCAGCAACTGAGTTCAACCACAAGAGAGCAGTGCTACAGTAATGTAATGATGTGGGGCAGATGCCGCTACATGTGTAATCAGTTTGCATTTGAACCACTTTACTTGCAATGCAGTAGTTATTATAATTGTGTTTCATGTGTTTGTTGTCTTTGTAGGGGAGATGGATCTGGCTGAAGTGGCTCTAAACATCCTGTGTCTGCTGATGAGGCAGCAGTGGAGCTGGTTGTGCACGGAAAGCCTTCAGAGGACTGTCAGGTTGCTGTTTGGCACCCTCATCAACAGGTGACACCATCAAAATGACTAATACCAGTGAGATGCAACACTTCACAATGGTCAAAGTGTTCGTAAACGTTCCTTCTTTTTTTGTCAAACAAGTAACACAACACATCAAGCCACAACAGACGTATGTCACTGTTGTTAACAAACACCTTAAACAAAAGTTTAAATAAAATCGGTCTGTCTTCTACTTAAATGGATTTTCCAGCTCAATTGAAGTGTGTTTCTGTTTAAATGTTTCAAATCAAATCTATCCTTGAAAGCTTCCTGGACGACCTCGGCTTGGTGAAAAGCCAAAAGCCTCCTTTTGAAATCAGATCCGCAACACTGAGCCGGTATCAGGGATCTTTAGGTCGTTTATAAGTGGTCGGACCGTGGCGGTAATGTGGCGCAATCGTGTCCTTTGTTTTTTAGTATGTTTATATTGCTGGCTGGAGCTCCAGACAAGTGCATAAACATACGAATTGTTTTTGTTTTCGACACTTTGAAGTTCAGTAAGAGTCAAACTGTGTTTTATTTACTTATCAGAGGACAGGTTGACCTTTTGAATTCAATACAAACAGCAGAAGATCTAAAGAAATGTGTAGACTTTCTTGCCTGGGCCACATATGGAGAAATTTGGTGGTGAACAGTAAAAATCATAATTTTGTCCACTTTTCTCCAAAATGAAACCCCGATATCACAGAAAGCATGCTTATTTGTTGCAGGTGTTACAGAATCAAAAACTGTGATTTTGAATGGAAGTCAATGGGATGTCTTTGTCCACTAAGATCAATCTGTTGCTACACAAAAACTATTGATGCAATATTTTTAATTTTTTAGATATTTCTTAACACGACAAAGACTGATTTAAATAAATGCCCCAGAAAGAAAAAGTTTATTTTTTTTTTTAGAAAATAACAAATGTTTTTTTTAAAATATAAATTATAGCAATGACTTTGAGTATTCAAACTGGCATTTCAAGGGTTAAAAGCCTCAAAATGATTGAAATTTTGAGTAACAGTTTGAGTAAGGCTGAAGCTGTTTAACAGACCTATGAAATAAAAGCAAGAAAAAATATTAACGTTTGTATATTTTTATAGCCACTTGTGCAAGCGGCCATTTCTGTCATCTAATGACTCTAGTGTGTAGTAAATTAAAGTGAAGCCCGAGGGTCAGAGATGGCAGAAACATGTTTTGGTCACACGAACTGTTAGCTCCTCAGGTCTGAATCGCTTCCAGGCTACCTCAGATCTCCTCTGTAAGACCATCAGTAACACAGTTGCATGAGCTGCACAAGAGACTTCAACTTCCATCTTCAAAAATTGGAATATGGTGCAAGAAGTAAGTCATTTCAGTACTTCTACATAAAAGGTTAAACTAATGTGAGATAATATATGAGAAAGACGCATTAAATGCCTAAAAAGACCCCTTTAGTTGTGTTGTCCTAAGTTCCTAAGGTCTCTGCCATGGTCTGATGTCCGACCATGTGTGCGGTGTTTTCACTTTATTTCTTGTACATTAGCTGTTAGAAAAGAGCGTTGCTCATTTTCAATTTTTGTCACTACTTACTGAGTAAATCTCCCTACTGCAGCAGTTAAACATGTTTTTTACAATGATTATTGTGACACATTAATGATGGAAACATCCATCTTTTATTGGGCTGTTGTGGCCGTAGACTAAGTCGGGTCAGGACATGAAGGCACATGCTTCCTAGTGGGGATTCCATAGCAAGGGCTGTTTATGAGCTGGAGAGGCTCTTCTACAGTCATTAGTCAAAAGGGGTTGATATTTCTGACACGAATATGAACCTTTGCAGTTTTCTTCATCTTAAAAATACAAGACCTCACCAAACGTGCTGTTCATCTAGAGAAAAATCCTCTACTAGGATTTGGAGAAACCTGCTTGCACCTTTTAATTACTTGTCATTTATGTGTTTTGCTTGTTGTAATGTGGATTATCCTGTGTGCATACATGCATGCCTGCAGCGTTTAGCCCTGAAGTGGATGTCTATCATCAACTCCCAAAGCACATGTTCCAGACAGGTTTAGCTTCTGCTTCAGATATTCTGAACATGCAGACAATATTCTCAGGTTCTGTTGTGTGGTGACCTCATGCTCTCTGTGGTGCCTGAACAAGATATCACTTTGCTTCACGTTGGAACTCAAACCTCTATTTTAAGATATGCCATCAACCGAGTGTGAATTCCTTGTGCTTTTGTATTCTCCATTTGTATTTTAGGCAGCAGTCTGTCACCGTGGTGGTAACTGCTCAGAGCATGGCCACTTTATTCTCTTATCAACTTTTTATTGGTTCAAACGAGATGAAAACTAGTAGCTGATGTTAGTGGGAACATGGAATATGTCTGCCAGCCGAATCTATTCCAGTAGACAATTTAAACAAGCAATTCTACTTGAAGAAACAAATAATATGAATTATCTTTTAAATTGCCAATTAAAATTAAAAGATCCGTAATGAGTCAGTGTGCAACAAAAGACCAGCATACCCGGCCCAAAGGGTTACTGGGCTTCCACGCTGGAACAAGGCATGTGTGAGTGTCTGGTGGCTGGACTTTTGCCTATGGGCCCGGCTGGGCCTGGACTGAATGATTTGCACGGATTTGTCCAGTTGTGCAACCAGTCACCTGCAGGAAAAACACAAACCGCCTTCCATGTGGATCAGATGGTAGATCAAGACTAAGACTTTGGCAGTCTGATCCCTGGAATCGGCTTCCGGACCATTTTCTGTAAACCCTAGAGATGGTTGTGCATGACAATCCCATAAGATCAGCAGTTTCTCAAGTACTCAGACCAGCCCGTCTGGCACCAACAACCATGCCACGTTCAGAGTCACTTAAATCGCCTTTCTTCTCCTTTCTGAAGCTCAGTTTGAACTACAGCAGGTTGTCTTGACCACGTCAACATGCCTAAATGCATTGAGTTGCCATCATGTGATTGGCTGATTAATAATTTGCGTTAACGAGCAGTTGGACAGGTGTACCCAAAAAAGTGGCCAGTGAGTGTAAATTTACAGGTCAATCTTTGTTGCTATCCTCACCTATGGTCCTGAGGTAATTGTTTAGCGAATAAATGCCGATTGTGCCTTGGCGCAACAGAGAATCAGAAGGTTTTATTAGCATATGTGCGTGAATCACAACATTAGGAAATTGCTGAGGTACTTGGTGCAAAAAAAGGAAGATAAAAATAAGAGATAAGAAAATATAGGAAGTAAGAATATAATGGTGATAAATAATAATGTAAAGTGGCAATACTTAGAGAAATGGCTGCTATATGCAAGACAGTGTAGGTACTAATCAGAGCGGATCAGTTAAGGTACAAACACAACACAGGGTCATGTGACTGGAACCAAGCCACTGGGGTGGACAGCCATTGCCGTTCATGAGTCCGACCGCAGAGGGGAAGAAACTGTTCTTGTGGCGAGAGGTTCTGGACTGAGTGGATCTGAGAGCGGAGTGTAGAACAAGCTGCAGTCTCTTCCTGTCCCTGTTGGTCGCTCCAGGTGAGGATAGACTCGATGACTGAGGTGTAGAACTGCCTATTCTGTGCTGGTAGGTTGAATTTCTTCCGATGCCTCTGGAAGTACATCCTCTGCTGGTCCTATTTTTATGATGAAGATGGTGGTTGGCTCCCACTTGAGGTCCTGAGTGAAGGTGGTGCCCAGGAAGCGACATGAGTCCACCATCGTGATGGGAGTGTCAGACAGGTTATCGGGGAGAGTGGGGCTGTGTGCTTCCTAAGGTCCACAACAACCTCTGCTGTCTTCTGGGTGTTTAGCACCAGGTTGTTGTGGCTGCACCAGGGCACCAGCTGTTCGACCTCCATTCTGTAGGCAGACTCACCCCCGTCAGAGATGAGTCCGATGATGATGATGTCATCTGCAAACTTGATAAGCTTGACAGATGCTCACCTGCAGAGGGAGGTGACATGATCACGCGCCGAACTTCGGCTAGTAAATACATTGAAAATGAAAATAAAAGGTATAAGTTTGCGTTTGTTAACAGAACCAACTGAGATGATAATCTGCAGCAACGCAGCGCTGCTGGAGCTGTTCTCCGTTAGAGCTGGAGGTCACAGGGACTGTGGAGGACAAACACCTTTAGGAGCAGACTAGGTCGCTTATAAACGGTCTAAGGCTTCCTGATGCCGCTTCAGCATAGCAGCAAATTTATGGCATTGTTTTGCAAAAATGGCTAAAGAGTGTCTTTGTCCTGCAATATGTCTGATCCATGACCCTTATTTACCTGTATAGAGCAGTGGTTCCCAATCCTGGTAGCACGGTTGACTTGTTCCTCTGCTCTACCACACTTGATTCAGTGGTCAAATCACCTGTGCAGCATCTCATTAAGCTCTGCAGAAGCCATCTTGCTGATTGAAATCAGGTGTGTTGAAGCAGGGTTCAAACTAAAACGTGCTGGATATCGGTTCTCCTGGGCCAGGATTGAGAACTAGTGGTATAGAGTACGAACGTTAGCATTTACATTTTGCAGGAAGAATTTGCACATCTGGGTATGCTAGTGAAAAATGCCTGACTGGCATGCAGTGTCTTGGTTAAAAAACAGATGAGACGTCAATGAATATGCATTTCTGTGGCAGATCCCAATGCCTAGGTTTAAAACTGAGGGTATTTTTCATTTAGCAAGATGCAAAATTGTGCTCACGTTGACTAAAGATGTATTTAACAACACTTAGAAACTCATGAGTGCTGAACAATGTACAGAATGGCATTTGTACCTTAAAAATGAAATGTTATGCTGTAGTGGACTAGTTGTATTAGCAGCAGAATTTTCATTTTACTGCTTGGTATTCATGTAAGCATACACTAAAAACCGTTGAAGAGCAAAATAATCAATGTGTAATCCGTTCTCCAATAAATGTTCGGCAAAGCTGCACAAATGACTCCATTACTTAGCTTAAATTTGAAGTCAAACATGGAATTCAGTGGAGGATATTCAGGGTGACGTTTTAACATGGCAGTAAATAATCCACAAACCTCACGTGCACCATTTG